CCGCTGAGCTTCTAGCTTTCCCGATTGCAGAGTCTATCCAACTGGGTGAGGAACAACTATACAACTCAGGGATTAGGTCAAGCCACAAAACGTCAGTGCCACCCAACAGGATAGTGATCCCTAAGAAGCCCCTGATAAGTGCACCAAACACTGAGTCGACGCCAAAGGGAGAGCCGACCGCCTCTTTGAAACAGAAACGGGTGACGAACTTAGGGAAGGATAAACACCTCGCCAAGCTGCAGTTCAAAAATCTCACCGGGAAGACCAACCTAGCGCGACCAGCAGGACATCAGGAGCGACCTGACTTGAGGCAAGTGTTCAGAGGTACCTGCACATCCGCCTTGGAAAATAACAACATGCGACAGAGAAGCGTCATTATCTTCGGAGTGCCAGAGAGCACTGATCAGTCTCTTAGAGCTAGGGACAAAGAAGATGAAACCTACATCACTGATGTACTACCCCACATGGGCATACAACTTGATGTAATCAAGCATCACAGACTAAACAGTAGTGACGCAAATACTAAAACTCACGCCTCCAGACCAGTAAGAGTGGATGCTGCGAATCCGAAAGGTGCATCGGAGATTCCCTATCGCTCGCCCATGCTGCCTTCTCCAGATTGGAGTCCCATGAGAATACGGCGTGACTTTCTGTGGAGCAAACGCTATCAGAGGCGAGACTCTAAAAGGCAGAACGACGACTGTGACTCTCACTCGGTCATCGTACGAGGCATACCAGAAGCTCAGGGGGAATTAGTCAATGTCTGCACGACAGCGAACAATGGGATTACATTCTGAAAAAATCCAGTCTGTACGACGTATTAGCTGAACGTGTCATAAGGTTATCTAGGCCCGCCCACCTCAACAGATTGACTTCGCCCAGGCTCATCAAAGTAGTGCTTTTTGATGAAGGCATGAAACCCCACTTTCTACAGGGTGAGCGCAGCATCCAAACGCGCCCTTATTCAAAAAATTCAACGTCATTTGATCGATCCTTATTATGCAAGTCATGAATAAAATCCCAAATGGAGACCACTGTCGCTCGAAAATTATCTTGCTTATCAAAGAACTTAAACATAATGCTGGTTTGCCGACCACCGAAACAATTAAAGTGAGATTTCTTTTACATGAAACAATAAAAAATTATTGGATTGACTCAATTGACTGAACCCCGTGGCATATGCTAACCAGGTAGCAGTGTCCACTTTTTGATCTAAATTCATATCAGTACACGGATCCAGCCTCAAAGCTAGATCTGTGGAACAAAATCTCTGCAGGTACCCACTTGTAAAATTATTGTGACCTATTGTTGCCTATTTCATGTATATATATTTGTAGGTATACGTACTTTTTTGCTCTATTCCACAGTGCATATTATCGTGAGATGTTATGTTCGCTTCACTCCTTCACATTTGGGTATCATCCCAGACTGTTATGTATCGCTCTTTTGTTCCAGATTTCTTTGGTTTGGGCCGGACGACGGCTTAGTGTCTAAATCCACAATGAACAATTTTGTTCCGGCAATGGTTGTTGGGCACGGCTATCTCTACCGTTTTGACTACATGCGTCCGCATTCCGGACCAGGTTGAGGATTATACCCGTTGCCTCACCTAAAAGGTGTTTTAAGGTTGGGTTTCTAGCATGTGATCAGTTCCACATCAAAGCGACCAACGACTAAATAATCTAAATCAATCCATTACCGATCGAAGCTCCGAACCCAAGTGAATATGCTCTCAGAAGCAAGCTGTTATGCAGCTGACAGAAAAACATGTATTTGACAACTGTATGAACTCGCTGTACCCCTTTTTCCCATTCATTTCTATCCGCGAGCCTCCATCTCCTCTCATTCTTTGTCTCACAGACCGTCGATCCGTGTTTTCTTCCCATAAATTCCGCACGTCGAATTTTCTCGATACGAGGCTTGCTCTTCCTTTGATTTCCGTTGACTTGCTTATCCAGTGAATTCCTCCATCCTCCACATCTATGTATGTGACCTTTTCCGCTTTGTGTTCCGTTTACACTGAGTTTGCATTCCGGTCCCTCACCGACTCCATTATGTATATACTCTAATTGGACCTTCTATACATCTGCACCTTTGATGCACGTATGATTAATTTAAACATATGATGATGCTTTGCGCATACTTCACGGGCTTCGTAAAATATATATTATTATTATTATTATGTATGAACGAATTCTCGGTAGGAAAATGTACCCATACCAAATCTATAGAATTTCACCTCCCATATAACTGTCAAAAGCTGTTCTCTTTCACCCACTAAGTAACCTCACCTTGTAACAGCTTCGCATAAGTAGTTATTGCCTCCACAAAATCCGCTCTCAAAATAAAATTTAGACCTATACCTTGATTTGATCCCTGAACAGGATCCATAACTCGGAGACAAATCAAATTGGCGTGGCCCTAAAAGGGTAGTTTTTAGTCACTTTGGTCTTTTGACGTCCACGCTCATTGACTGAGGCAATGCACACAAACGTATGCTTCCTCTCCACTGTACGCAGCGCAACTGCTGTGTTCGTCGCCCGCATTTCTGGCACTGGAGCCATTGATGCTCATCATCCAAATTGATCGTATTCCACGCAGATTTGCAGACACTGCAACGGTTGGCGTTCATCGGTGATGCCGGATTGGTTTGCCTTCTGCGTTCAGTGTCCAGTTTGTACTTTGCTGATGTCGTTGTTGTCAGTCTTCGGAACACGGCATGCTCCAGTGGGTCACCTAGGACTATTTCGTCGTCCTCACTGTTGACTGATCTACTTACTAAGACTGATTCCGCTGTTCTATCGAACCGCTTGTTGACGCTGCTGGTGGATTATTGGTTCTCACCTTGATTCTCATAGACGAAAGACATTACGCGTAATCTCCGTAGTCTGTGTTGCCAAGCTCTGTCTATCGAATGATATCTGGATGTCAGGGTACTTGCCTATCACAGCTCCTACACGTAGAAGTTGATTACATTGAGAAGCGTAATGCACTCTACCTAAACTACTCAAAGAGACGCCCAGCTCTTGAAGGACATCCTCTGTTTGAGCTAACTTTGATGTCTTACCCATGAAGTGTCTTGATGCAACTATTACCACAGTGGAGTTCCGATCTGAACGCCCTTCGCTACGGTTTATAATCCACCTATCTAGAAGAAGACTTTGAATATCCCAAATCAGCAGATCGAAAACCCTGGCTATATGCAAACAGGGCGCATAGAAATAAAACTCACACTTCGTTTCCCCTGCAGTAACTACTTTATAACCCTTGCTCTTACTGTCCACGACCACGAACAACACTCTCTCGTGAACAATTCATACAAACTTATATGACTTACATTTGCTTAATAATATATATTTCGTGCCAATGGTTTTACTCGTATGAGCAACGGTTTAAACGACTGCAGGCCGCTGGATACTCCTCGTGGAATCTTTAGCATGACGAAATCCATGGGTCACTTGCAGTGACCTTACTCGTTGTAGCACTTTCTTAAATATATCCACTTTTGAAGATCGACGAGATAAGCCAGTCTTAAGGTGCCTATTCTCCGTCTCCACTCGGTTGGTAGTTAGGTTTCCTAAAGTTAACCTAGTCTTTACGGCATACACTGCTCACTGCTCTCGGTACGGTAACCAAGTTCGGCGTAAATAAACACTGCTTCTACGCTACGGCGTTCTACGACGGGTAGGAATCTACAAGACAATACCTCACTATCGCAGTACACCATGTTCCGCAACCATTGAAATATGCGCCGCTTTTCAAACGTTGGCATACCAGATAGCTGATTACATTTCTTCTTCCATTTCGCCTCTTCGCCGAACTTGGCAATTTGTTTGCAAACGTTTCATCACCAGCCGAGGTGACATCATCAGTGCTTGTGAAGCGGCCACTTCAAAAACACTGATAATGCAGTGCAGCATAATCTTAGGAACAAAATAAATGTAACGAACGACGCATTCGTTTAGCCCTATCCTAACCTCTCCGTGATTCTCCAGCATATCCCGAACTTTTACCGCATCGCCATGTGAATCCGACTGAGACCTTCTTCGACGTATGGATCTGATATCCGCCGTAGTTAAGGGTCTCCGGAACCTGTGTGTGGCGAGATCTCTCAGATCGGGAGTAATTCTAAAATTTTCCATCAAAGGGCACACTTCCTCTTCCTGTTCTCCAGGTGGACGACGATTACTTATGTACAGACCCCAGTGACCCACATGAAAGTCATGGTTGTGCACCAGAAAACGTTTCATCACTCAGTACTCCCTCCGGACCGCGCGAATTCCAAGGAACGCCGGACAATCGATATTTTGCAGCCTAATATTGGTTAAATACATTAGGAATGAGAGGCATAATTACCTGGTTGCAGTTGCGCCGCGCCTTCTGTAATGTACACAGCAATAATTGATGAAACAATACGGAAAACACCTCAGGCAGAGTCAGTTCCTGACCATACTTTCTTTCCCGTATCAGTCGTTTGGCTGTCAGTGACGCATAAACGTAGAAGGAAGTGCAAGTAACTCTTTGGAATTCACGTACGTTCTCCAAGAATCCGTCCAGCGATCTATAGCAAATTTTTACCATCCGTTCAAGAATGACCGTTTCGTTGGTACGAGCGTGAAAGTGATCGTCGGAATTAGGTTGCGGTATTTATACTTTCTGGATGAAGTCCATTGAGGTTAATTAAAACAAATTAAATTTTAACAAATCACTCAGAATCAGCCAAAATCAAAATCTGTTCCTTTTTGGCTGAATTCGACATCGCTTGTTCTAACATACATTTAAAAATCGATCATTTTTGGGACTACTAAGAGTTGGGATGCCACGGCACTACCCTGAGTACGGTACCAGTAACGCATATCAACGGAAGCACTAAACAGGTACGCGTTTGACAGACCAAATAATACGTTTTTTTGTTTGTTTTGTTTTTGCAAATATAAAAAGGTATATGCGTAAACAATATACTAATACGCTTTTTGTTTGTTCTTTTGTACAAAAAAGCGTTAGTAATAAAAAAATTCCACAAAACGAGTTGGAATACGGACCGAACCTCCGTTACGAGTGATTCTAGGGTTTGAACCAGCTAAAGCAGAACGCAGTGGAAGCGTTCCTGAGGTAAAGTGTAATGTGGCCGAGGTGGGGGCGATCGGTGTGGTGAGGTCCGTGGTCCTGGGGTTGGAAGGGGTTGTCGTGACGGATGTTGCGTCTGTGTAAGTTGGCTTTGTGCGATCAATCGAGATAGCATCACGGTGAATGTTGAATTTGTTTGTGGTTGTTGATCGAGTTGTAACAAATGCTTCGGCATCAATTCTTCACGCAATCTTTTCGCACACATCATGGACCATGTATTGGTTTGACTGTATCACTTTTACATTCTTCTCAATATCGTTGACTCGAGCGGCTGGAGTGGAACTCCGCTATTTTTGAGACGCTTGTTGATTTGTATTTATCGTGATTCTCGGACATTGTGACCCTAGAGGTTTCATTATCGAGGTTCGTTGTGAATATGCAACTTCAATCTTATTGTTAATTAACAGTACCGTGTCAATAATCAATCAAACCCTATTTTGACGATCGTCTTCTCTCACTGGGATCTGTTCGGGCAATATTTGACTACGTGAAACGTATTGTTATCCGGATTGATCGTTCGGTGGAATTCGACAGATGTATCAATACTGACGCACGCGTAACTCGTTCGAGACGGGTCCTCCAGAATCAACAGTGACCGTTCTTATCGATGACTCCCTTTATTTCACTGCGCCGAAGTACGCGATAAGGGCCATTACATGGAGCCTGTAGGGGTCTGCGTACTGCGTCGCAAAGGACCCAAACGTGTGTGCAAGTCTTCAAATCTGGATGTATGATGACTGCTTTTTGTTGCGGGCGAGTGACGGCTGGGGTTAACTCACGCGTGTGATGAGTAAGCCGTTGGACGTAATCCGGTGATGCTTGCATTGACGTTTTGTGTGGGGAAATATACTCTCCGGGAAGACGGAGTGTAGTTCCTTATACTAGTTCGGCCGGCGTGCACTTGAGGTCGTCTTTGATGTCATCTCTTATGCCAAGTAGGACTAGTGGGAGTGCCTCCGTCCATGAAATGACGGAATGTGCACTAAGTGCAGCTTTAATCTGTCGATGAAAACGCTCGACGAGACCGTTAGCGACCGGGTGATATGCTGTGGTACGCATACTTTGAAATCCTAACATGGCCGTTAGCGAGAGGATCTGTCACATTATCCCTCGAGCGGATATTTTCACCTCTAGTTCTGTGTCTTTTTCAATGTTCTTCATATGACAATCGTTTACATTGATGTAGTCTTCATATCAGATCACCCTCAGTACTGCATTTTACGGCCTTGTCCGCCTTGTCTTTCTTTTTCACAGCAATGCACGGTTACGATGTCTTTTTCACCCGTTTGAAAATTACGTTTCTACCCTCTCTGTACATTTATTCTTTGTTCGGACCGTCATTTTTCACATTGTTGTACATATTATCATGAGCACTAGCATGCCTCACGGGCTTCGTGAAATATACCATTCTTATTATTATTATTATTATTACCTGAAACCGCGGATTTGGAGATTTTAAGAGTCTTAAGGACTATTTTCACGTCCGGTGTAGATGTCACCAGATCTGGCATGTCGCTCACTCGATCGAAGGTAGAGTAGTTGCTCAGGCTATCCAGGCAAAAGACCTTTTGGAACGAGACGAGAAATGAGTCGGCAATATCCTTGTCGGTGGTCAAGAGTTGTCCATTAATGTGAATGGCTAAAGAGGAAAAGGAAAAAGGAGAACGGAGCATGTGACAGAACATTACTAAATATAAGTGCACACCTAGCACGTTTAACTAAAATGATGGGGTGCCGGAGTGAATATAGGACCATAACCGGGAGTTGCAGCGCTGTAAGACGATAGAATGTTTCTGAGAGTGCGCACCAGAATTTTGAATTCCACAGATCCGGCTGTGAAACGCAATACATTTACTCTGAGGAATTGGTTGCGAAAGTGGACACAGCTATCAAAAAAGAATATACCACGGAAGGACGCCGAAGGAATCGAACCAGATTGATTCGAGCAAATTGTTGCATGCCAGATATTACGTCACAATACATGTACGAAGGAACGTTTATTTGCACCGAGAACATTTAAGCGGAAAACCTCCAACAAAAGTCTTCAAACTAAACTGGAGGAAATAGTGATTCACTTTTGACTCTGAGGAAGCAAAACACATTCATCGAGGACAAGAGGTGTAGAAAGTAACAGTAAAATAGAAAAATCAGAGATAACCTGAACGAAGTTCGGAGGCATTCAGCAGGCAGGATACCCGACAGAGTAGGATCAGGTGGGAGAAGCAGGACAGTTGAAGTGAAAAAACAAGGTACACGGAGGACATTTCAGTCAAAGTCTTACCGACACCATTTGAGCGGAAGTATTCACACAGAGTTCGTAAATCTTTCAATAAATATAAATAGTGATTGTGATTGGCCTGTGAAGTATCAAACAGATTCATCGAGGACAAGCGTTGTAACGAGCAANCCCGACAGAGTAGAATCAGGTGGGAGAAGCAGGACAGTTCAAGTGAAGAAACCAAGGTACACGGAGGACATTTCAGTCAAAGTCATACCGACACCGTTTTAGCGGAAATGCTAATGTGAGGATGCAAACCTTCACTGAAACAAAGATGGTTAGTCTCATTTGGCTCTGAAGCATCAAAACATATTCATAGAATACAAGGGTTGTACGAAGCAAGAGTGAAAATAGAAAAGCTAGAGACAACCGGACTGAAGCTCGGAGGCATTCAGCAGGCAGGATACCCGACAGAGTAGGATCAGGTGTGAGAAGCATGATAGTTCACGTGAAGAAACCAAGGAATACGAAGTACGAATTAGTTCGAAACATACCGACAACATTTGAGTGGAAATGCTCAAATATGGTTCCTAAATCCTTCAATAAATATAAATAGTGATTGTGATTGGCCTGTGAAGTATCAAACAGATTCATCGAGGACAAGCGTTGTAACGAGCAAGATTGAAAATAGAAAAGCTAGAGTTATCCTGACTGAAGTTCGGAGGCATTCAGCAGGCAGGATACCCGACAGAGTAAGATCAGGTGGGAGAAGCAGGACAGTTCAAGTGAAGAAACCGAGGCATACGGAGGACATTTCAGTCAAAGTCATACCGACACCATTTAAGCGGAAATGCTCGAACGGGTTCTTTAACCCTTACTGAGATAAAAATTGTGATTCTATTTTGTCTCTGAAGCATCAAAACGGATTCATCGAGGACAAGCGGTGTAAGGAGCAAGAGGGAAATAGATAAGCTGGAGACAATCTGGTCGATTTTTGGATGCATTCACATTTGATTCTAGCTTCCCATTCTGCTTTGATAACTTGATTGCAGAGACGCTTAAAGCAAGCGAAGAGTAGGGAGCTTCGTTGCTTGTTCAATGCCATCAATTCCTGATGTTTCCTGTCAAATCTTCGACGGACTCTAGGTCGGAACCAAGGTTTGTGTCCCCTTATCCCTGTTGTTTTCACAGGAACGTAGACCTCCGTGAGGATTACAATGTTGTCCCTCATCCGGTTCCAGGTGTCCTCTGTGGAGCTCAGATTGTCCCAGCACAGTCCCTCTGCTCCGTTGACCAAGTCATCAATGTTGATGTTGTGGAACCTTCGAGTTCCAGTTTTGGGCTTCGGGGTTTCCACTCGGTGAAATTTGAAGAACACCGGTGAGTGGTCGCTTTTGCCTAAAGGAACTCCGGTTCTTAGTCCCGCGACGTCATTGCTGTTCCTCTTTAGAACGAGATCGAGAGTGGAGGGTAATTGTCCAGGTCTTATCCTGGTAGGTACTATCACATGTTGCTTCAGGGTTAGACCGGATACGGTGTTAAGCAGGGTCATATGAAACCCAGTTCCGCGACACGATTGGTGTGCCCAGTTGACAGTGGGTGCGTTGCAATTACCTAGAATCAAGAGCCGATGTCCTGATCTAGCAGCTCCACGCAAGGCCTGAAGAAGTTCCTCGTCTTCTTGGTGTGACGAGCTTGGGCTGCGATAGATCTCGACGGCCATGACGGGGGGATTCACGTGCACAATGCAGGTTACTGATAGAATGTTTGTTGAGCTAGCCATGAAATGCATCGCTGACTGACGGATCACTTGCCGCACTAGTAGCAGGCAACCTCCACCANCTCCACCAAGCGAGTTAATACGGTTGGAGCGGAAATGCTGAAAATTGCGGCTCCAGTCACCAATTTCAATTTCCTCGCGCAACCACGTTTCCGCGAGGGCGGATAGATCAATAGTGCCAAGAGTATCA